ATGGCCTAAACTCCAGCTACACGGAATCACAGAATTTTTGGAGTTGGAAGGGACCTCTAGGGATCATCTAGTCCAACTCCCCTGCCAAAGCAGGATTGCCTACAGCACATTACTCAGGGCTGCATCCAGGTGGAGATACACAATTCCTGCTTTTTCAGCTAACCTGCCCTCATTCACTTCATCAGGCAGTCACCTATACAACAGATTTTTCTCTTCTATTCTCTGACCAAAATCAGAGTTTCTCTGTCTCTTCATTGTTTTTTGTACAGTTTTTCCAAAACTGGGTAAGCAGGTGAAAACTTCAATAGTTAGACTGCATCAAGATAGTGCTTAATTCCTTAGGTATGATTGCTACACACAAAGATATCACAAATAAATCAGTCAGATACTGTCTTCCCATTTCTCATGTGAAAAGAAAAGAAAAGAAAAGAAAAGAAAAGAAAAGAAAAGAAAAGAAAAGAAAAGAAAAGAAAAGAAAAGAAAAGAAAAGAAAAGAAAAGAAAAGAAAAGAAAAAGAGACATAACAAAATTATAAACTAGTCATCAATTCAGATGTAATTATTAATGATGTTACAAGCTAATATATGAAAGAGTAAAACGGCCAGTCATTAAATGACTTGGTGTACTACCAATGTTTTCTGCAGTTTCAATGAAAATTTCTTCTCATTCTGTAAGAAAACACCTTATACATGGAGATATAATTGAAAACAGTTACCAAGGACATAAAATGCTACAAGGAATTAAATTTTTAATTTCACAGACTAGAAACCACTGTTCACTATGCAGTATTATTCTCACACAGCAAGCTATCTTCATGTCATTTAACTTTCATAATACCACAGGAAAAATAACCCCCAAACCCCTTATAAAACAAAATCTCCTCCTCCTCCTCTGAAAGGTTACGTTCTGTGTAGTTTACTGAGTACTTACAGAGAGACTATATACAGGAAACCTGGGAATTGAGTTAGTTTCCTCTGTGTAGAGCTTCCCAAGCAAAGCAAGGAAAAGCAGCTTTTTGGAGCCAAAAGTGAGGCAATAAGAGCAAGGCAGAAACTAAAATCTAACCAAGGGCAGGTAAGACAGGGGGAGAAGAGCAAGGAGGGAGTGGCACAGTACTGAGTTAGGGGGATTCCATTCAAAACAAAAAAGCATTTTTGATTCCTCTCTATACATGAGAAAGCTTGGTAAAAATTTCACAGGAGAGCTTGGGCTTTTTATGTCTATAGCCCAAATTAGAAGTCTTTAAGTTAGAATGTTGTTTACACATCAGCACAGAAATATTCTTCTGTAGTGCAAAACTAATTTAGTAAGCTTTGCTCCGTGTAGTCATAGAATTAAATTAATCAACAGTAAGAAATTAAAATTTAATTTTTAATCTGTACTGTGCCATGACCTTCTACTATGATTTTGCTTTTTATCACTCTAAATAACACTATGTATAGAGTACACAAGGTTGTTTTAATATTTTTTTTATTATTTGAACACAATGTAATTATATTATACTTAAGCCTGTCTCATCATAGCAAATTCTTAAGCAAGCTTCAAAGTATGTGAATTCAGCCAGTTTCTTAAAATAAAGTATTCTAATCCATACTGAGGAATGAACGATCAGCCACAAATATTGCTGCATCCTTAATTGCCAGTTTCAAAATGTGTATCTTTTTGCAGGTTGACTTGTAGACATGAAAATGGCTTTCTTAGTAAATAGCTACTGAAATAGCTTTTGCAAGGTATACATTTGAGGTTTTGAAAAAAATGGCAAGGAATAGAAGTCTAATCAGAACAGAAAGTACAGAACATAGCACTTCAACACAAGAAATACATGAAATCCTTGCTTTAACTCTGTTAAGAGGACCTACACAACTCATGAAAATAAATAATCTGCTACAAATGCTCTGAGACCTGGAACCTCCTCTTAACCATTCAGCCAGGCTAAAAACACTTAGCAAAGCCATATGCTAGGCTTTCAGCTGTAGATCTGATATATTAAGTGTTTGGAAAGAATTTTGCAACTTACACTCTAAGGAGCAGACTCATGATAAAAATGAAGCCTCAACAAACTTTTACCATAAACACTCTCCACTTGATACAGACTGGTATTTCATTCTGGAGCCAGACCAAGACAATACAAACAACCAGCAAGTCCTTCAGTATCAAGGCAAAATGACAGCTGAGGTTTTATTATTCTTCCAAAAAGTACTAAGATGCAATTTCCAAGGCCACAATCCATTCTTTTCAGAGTTATCCCAAGAAGGGGCTAAAGAAAAAAAAATGTGCACGCAACTTTACAACACCTTTTAACATTCCCTTATTTTGAAGTAGTAGAGTTGGTTTGAGTGTCAGCATACAGCAGAGCAACTCTAAAACTGACTGAGCTTTAGCATGCACCAAGCCTTAGGATTTGGAAGGGTCTTTATCAGTATCTGTCATATTACTAACCCTCCAATTTTTGCCAGTCTCCTTCCAATCTACAAACCTCCACAGAGGATAAGTCAATGACTGAACAGCTTTGTATCTTCTCTCTATTCAGAGGAGAACATATACTTAATTTTTGGCCTTTTGTTGTTGGTGGTTTTGGTTGTTGTTTTTTTTAAAGAAAAAAAAAAGAGTGTTGTGTCATGGAAACTGACAGCACAAAAATCCTGTTCCAAACAATTTCCAGTAACTTTATGGCTCCTCCTCACCTACAGGGAACAGGAAAAACCTTCACAGATTCTGACTGTGTCACACCACCACTGCTAGAAGGGAGGCCATTTAAGAAGAAACGATTTTGATGCCTTCTTGATCCACACCAATTGGCTTGAAGTAACAATAGTATCCTATTCCCTCAACATTGTAATCATGGTACATTCAGAATTTATGAAAAGCCCCAAGAGGTTTCAATCCCACATGTTGTTTTGGGATAGATTTACGTTTAAAACAAATCAGTATTTTTTAACCTCTCATAGCAAATACATCGTATTGCTTGAAGCAAAAGCTTCTATTTTACTAATAAATATGATGGTTTTCAGAGAAACATGGGAGAACCAATAGCATCCAAATGCCAGTATTTCACCATAACAGAATACCTAGTGTTTTAAGTTAAGCTATTTGTTTCTGGTCCTCACATGACCTAACTTCTCCAGGTATTTATAGTTACAAATTCTGTCTAAAAGAAAGAAAATCAAGCTATATTATTTTGCACAAATAGTCTGAAAGTAGTTTGTCTAACACTAAACTCCAGACACATCACAGGTTCTACTCACACATGGAAAAGACAACTGACAGTCTTTTTCTCTTCCCTATGCTCTCCCAAGCTCAGAGCAGAGCCATTTTCTTCCATCGCTTTATGACTCAAAATTTAGTCTTCCTTTTTCCCCTTTTCCCCCACTGCATCTTTTGCACTGAGACAACAGCCCACTTTTTGCATTTTTAAAAGAGACATGTTCTCTAACATGGTTGGTGTGTCTGCAACATAGTACAAATCAGATATGATCAGGCATTTACAGTGCTAGAAATAAATCCACTATGCTGTTACTATTGTCAAAAAGAAGAAATACAACAAAGGCAGTGTTCCTAAATAGCAACTTTAAAAAATTTGTATGTATGCAATCTTGAAAGGGCCTTTTTGCAACTGTCTTTGAAGAAGTTTATTTTTTGTTAGCCTGAGCATTTGGGCTAGAACAAGAGTTGTTAGGCATCTGGGGTCAGGAGGCCAAAGACTGTTTGCCACTCAAAGGCTGCAGCAGCCTATAAACACTAGCTGGAATCTGAGCTGTTTCCTCAACTCTGTCCTTCATTCTGCACAGCAGAGAAGCAGATAATGAAGCAAGCCTTCACTTTAATTTAATCATCATTTTCTCAGACTGATAACCTTCCCATCATTTGGATTTCCAAAAACTTTTGGGGTGAGAGAAGTCCCTTTGTATAGGGAAAAAAAAAAATAATAAATTGTTTGTAGACAAAACTTGTGGTTGCATTTGAGAAACACATAACTCAGCAAAGACAGAAAATGGTGTTTACAAACCTTGCAAAAAGTTGATTTTCTTTAAACAGCTAAGAGCTACCCAGTATTTTACTATATGATCTTTCCTCATGCTATCTTTCTCCTTCCTAGCCACATTTTCAGGGTCACCTCCGGAGTGCAGTTTACATGTGATCCTACACAACCCACCATCTGCAGGCTGCTTTGAAAACCGGACTCCGCCACCTACTGGCAATTTATTAAATTGGAAGTTTGTCCAACACTACTTCAGACTTTTTTTTTTTTTACCTGTATTCAATTTAAATGCAGAACTAAAGGGACAAACTCCAGCTAAACCCTTCAGGGTGCATTCTAGCATTTAGCATATAAACACGCTGCAGATCACAGGACACCTAACAACGAATCAGAAAGCTGTGACTAGTGCTACAACGTTAAGTTCTGTTCAGCACAACTTTCTGAACCTTAGTCCAACTGGCTTTCCTTTTTTTTTTTTTATTTCTCTCCTGCAATTTTATTATTTTATGAGAGGGAGTAAACAATCCCCTATGTCCTATTTAGTTTGAGGTTTCTAGAACAAGGCACAGCTGAAATTCTAGAAATGTGGAATAACTGCAGTTACCTGACTGAACCTAAGGGAAGAGTTTGAAAGATTTTACCTAGTGGAAGAGTTGAAACATGTTTTACGAGAACAGTATCCATGTTTTAGTAACGGTGCTGTTACTGATTCACTTTAACATGTTGCTTAACACTGGAGGAGCCCAGTTGTGCTTCCAGAACCGTGTTTTTTTAGGGTCTGGCTACGGCGAGGACAGTTTCCACCTCTCCGAGCTGCCGATGGAGCCTGCCGAGGGAGCTGCTGGATCCGGAGAAGCGGTGCTTCACACACCTGAGCCTGCCGGGGGCTGTCGGTGGAGCACCTCGGGCCCCGGGCGGGGAGGAGAGCCCAGCAGAGCAAACCCCCGCGGGCCAAGCCGCACGCCCAGCCCGGCGGGGCAGGGGGCCCGTGGAGCGACCTTCCTCCACACACACGCGTTACCTGAAGCCGCGAGTTCATCGCCATAAACTCCTGCTGGGCTTTCAGGCTGTCGTTTATCGACTTGGAGAAGACGAACCCCATCCTGCCCTGGAACGCAGAAAAGACGTGGCGGGTAAAGCGGGCGGCTCGGCTCAGCCCACCCCCGGGAGGAGCCTGTCCCGGGGCGGAGGCGGCGGGCAGGCCGCGGCGGGCAGCGCGGAGAACGGGTCACACCGCCCCGCTGGGGACTGGCCGCACCCGCGGGCCCTCGGGGCCCGCCTCGG